ACATTTATTTTATTTTATTTTTTTAGTACTGAAAATAAAAAAAAATTAATTTAGTAAAAAAATTTTGGATAAATTAAAAATAGCCTATTTATGAATCTGATTATAAAAACAATTTTGATGGTAAAAAGATTTATCTAAGTCAAGTAGTTTATTTTTTAGAAATTTTTAAAATTCAATATTTTTTTGGTTAAATTAATTTGGAACGCAATAAATGTTTAAAAAATATGATTTTTGAAAATTTGCTGACATGAGTATATATCTCTTAAATTATTTGTTTATCATATAATATTAAAACAATTTGACATACGATGAATTGGCATAATTTTTAAATTTTTTTTTGGTCAGGTCTTTCTGTTATAATATGGTAAGTACTTACATGTATGTAAATGCAGGGATTTTTTCTTATTACCCATTACCCTAATGTTACTATAAGACGATAATTGTCTCACAATAACCCTTTGCTCTACCACTTATAAGTACCTATTGATTGTATAGATTAACCAGTATGATCTGAGATTTAAACGATCAAAACCTGTTACATTATTATAAAAAAAATTAAAACACGTCATCTACAAAAAGAATATTAATCGCTCTCTGCATAGTAGATGTATGTATAATTATATTGTTATACTATACCTAATATTATACATGCAAAAACTTGACTGCAAGGCAAACTCAACTGTTTGGATGTGGCCTTCCCACGCATATTTACATATTACAATAATTGTATATTATTATTTTACGCTACTCAGTATAATATATATATATATATATTGTACGTAATAATTATATATTTGGCAAATATCTACCATAAGGATCTTTATTTTTTATACATCCCCTGAAAATGATTTACATCAGTATCATAATTTACAATATGGTAACATCCCAAACGTGTGTAGTGTGTAAATACATATATATTGTTTATATTAGTATTACTATACCATCCATTTATATATATATACGAATAAAACGTGTTTTCGGTTTATGTATGGTATACTACCTAATAGCTAACTACTACGTGGAGTCTAATTTACGAATATCTATAACCTTGAACTTCATGAAAAAAAAATATAATTTCCTACGTTTTTGTTGGCTTTGATTTTCCTTGTGTAGACGTCAGACGATGACGTAAATTATACGTTTGCACAATTGTATCCAAAGAAACGTAATATTATAAAGTATAACTAACTGATAGCATTMATTTATTTAATGTTTAAAATCGATTATAACAGTAAAATTATATTTATTCATTTTAATTATAAACGGGTTTTCACCTTATTTATTATACCAAATATATTATATTACTATTAGAATAATTCATTCCAAATAACATAAGACCGCCATGTATAATGAAAAAATGAAGACCAGAATGATTACCCAACAATACAGCTTATTATTCTTAAATCTATTTATTTATTTTATTTCATTACTGTCCTACTTCGAAATAGGAACTACTTCTATGGTTATAGTTCCCATTCTTCATCAACACATCAAATTCGAATATTGATTAAATTATAGAAAATGTATAACAGTTCGTATGATTACTTATTGTTTAAAATTTAAACCTTTTTACCAAAGACCAAAATGGAAAATACACATGAATATCCTATAAAGTCCATCGCAGGCAGCTATTTCCTAAAGGATATAAGTGAGAAAATATTATGACAAAGTAGTATAATATGTTATAGATACGCATGACAATTAATAATAATATACCAACGAACGTTGGATTTTTAAAATTTTTAATCACAAATTTAATATTATTTTCATTAATTTAATTAGCTGTTGAATCCATTCATTGCGTAAATAATATAAGTAGCCTGTAATCGCAAACGTCCCAAAGCTTTATGATAATAAACGCAAAGTATGACTACGACAATATATCGTGCCCTATTCTACAGGTCAATGAACGTTTYGCCGTTGTTTCAATGTTTCTTTTGATGTAAAAGTTTGTTTATATTAACGATACTCGGAGACGCGACCTCGGTGTATAATATTAACGCAAGTGATAGGCAGAGTTATCCTATGTAAGTAAAGTACGTAATATGTARTTGATCTGCCCCCRGGGCCAGTCGTTATCACCCGTGCGACAAAAACTTCAAATCAGCCTTCAGCACTCGACAGTTGTGGTCATTCGTCAACGTAGTYGAATGTCGATGAACGACATCGTTACAACAGTATTTACTTACTTTCTGTAGTTGACGGGTCACTGATGATTGCTCACTCGGATTTCGTGTCATCAACGTACGACACGCATACAATTATTTCGGAAATCACATTGTACTTATTTAAATGGTTGGGAAGGTTAGTTATTAATTAAACCAATGCCAAATACCGTTGTTGTTGTTTTTTATATGGAAAAATGCTTAGTTGGTTGAGTTAAAATGTATATAATTCAAAGTATTATACAAAAAATGTATATTTAAGTACAGTATTATAACAATGTTTGCAATCTGGGAATATACAATAATTAATTAAATAATATTACGATTCAATAACTATATCATGATATATTATGACAAATAAGTTGTGCATCTCAGTAAATAATGATATTCTTTGTACCTGTTGTATTCTTCTTTGAGTCCTCCATGATCTTCTTTGTGTCTACCAAAGTCATGTCCCCCGTCTTTTTCTWTATGCCCACCATATTCACGTCCACTATGTTCTTCCATGTGCCCACCGTGCTTTTATAKTCTCCACATTGATCTTTGTGTCCATCATGATTTATATAAATCGAATAATTCTAGAAACTTGAAATTCACACCATTTTATGTTTATTTTATGAATTCCTATAYTTAATAAAATTTTCAAAATATTTCAGTATTTTTAAAGTTATTTATAGACATTTTAAATTTTCTGKTTTTTTAGTTTTTATTCTATAAATGTCAATAAAATTGTATTCGTTGGATCAAAAAGCTTGAAAAATTCTTTTGTTGTTAAAAATTTATAAAACGTTTAACTTTAACAGTTAAGGATTAGAAATGTTAAACAAAGTTCTGCCTAAGTAATTAATTCTGTAACAAAAAAATCTGAAAACTATAAAAACACAGTTTTTTTCAGTAGTTATTTTATGTTTAAATTTGGATGAAATTATATAATATTAAAAAATAACCAATAATAACAATTTTAGTTATATTGTTTTAACTAAAAAATATTATTTTTGGTTACTTGAAATTTCTAGATTAAAGTTTATATTCAAATTTCAATAGTTAAAGTTGTTAATGACTTATGTTAATACTTAATTGTATACACTATGATTGACTGAGTAAGGCAGGTACATAATAAATCTGATTTGATTAATTTGGAATTTATTTTATTGGTATCTATTTTTTATTTTTTTTTTTTGAAATTATAACAATATAATTAATATAGTATAACATATTCTAGACTGACAAACCGTCTCCACTCAGAATTGTTTTTCGTATACAATGATAATATATCGTTGAGTTCAAATTCAATACCATCCATTACAGTAAACCACTTGTAACCTTACTTCAGTCGATAAAAAAAAAAAAGATCATTTACTTAATACGAATCGGAGTAACTCGATATCGGTGTAGGTTAGGTTAGGTTCTATTCAGATAGAATGCGTCAAGATGTTTTACACAAAAAAATCTTTTATTTAGTTTAAAATATAACCGATATTTATTTCAATCACAACTCAAAGAAAATTAATAATAAATAATTATTGCATTAAATATTTTAAAACAATTAAATATAATAGTAATGTGAGCTGATACTGATAGCAGTGATAGTAACCATTTATAAACAAAAATTCCATCATATGTATTATTACTATATTAAATTATATACAATATATTATTTTATTTTCTGATAACTCAAATTTGACGTACTTTTAAATAATGKYAATATAGAAATATGGCTACTTACCCCTCGAAATATTGGTCCATTCCTACACTTATATAAACTTTAAATACTTATAGCTCTATTACTCATCCTAAATTCAATTTCTATGTATCGAAATACTCAGAAAAATATTCTCCTTTCGAAGACAAAAATTAACATAGTGACCTATAATAAAAAAAAGAAAAAAATCATAAGATCAAACTGTTTTTGAACACATAATTTTTTGATAAAAACTTTTTGTAACGACTTGAAACTGTGTTAAAAAAAAATTTTTAAATCGATTTTTGAGTAATGGGTGTCCTACGTTAAACGAATCAACCGGTATAGTGTTCATATTTTTTATAATTTCTATTATGTTATATTATTTAGCTGTAATAGAATATGTTATATATAATATATTTAAATTTATATTTATAAATTTAAATTAATCAAATCTAACTCTTATGATTTTTGGAAAGTAATAATTTATGAGCGATGATCCAAAACGTACTGATTATTATTATTATTAATAAACAGTTTTTCGTCTAATTAAACCAATGGACGTTTTTTGTTCATAATATTAAAACGATGGTTTATTGATTTATCACCAATCAACTTTGTATTTAATTCGTAATTATGAAATATGCTCATTAAATTCAGTCGAGTTATATACTTGCTTTTTGATGGTTTATTGCCTATTATATTATTTAAAACAAAAGTAAATGGCTTTTCACAATATTTTAAGTTTACCTAAGTCAGGAATCTTGAATTTTGATTTACATTTGGTTATATATGGTTACAAATCCTGTGAAAATTTCAATTCAGTCGTTGACAACTTGGTCAGAAAACTTATAACCAGTAATCGGACCCACTTATTATCCTTCCTTATACATTCAGCTYATTATATTTCCTACAGAGAGAGGAACTGAGTCGATGGACGACAATCGTTAAGAATGWATTTCCATATTGCTGTGGTTGTTGGGTAATTTATTACTTACTCGTCAAGTCGTATGTCATGTAGATGGGTTACACAGGCACACATATTTAATTATCTCATTATACTTATTTTAGTGAACGCAACGTAGAAGCATAATACTATTATTTTTTTACCGAAAAATGTTTAGCTGGATGTGTTTTCATCTTTACAATACAAAATTTTACTATATTAATATTTAAGTACAAGTGGTACTACAACAAAAATATAAAATTTAGAAATAAATAATATTAAAAATTGACAACCATTTATAAYATGGCATTTAAGTTGTACGTCCCRGAAAATTGTTATAAACAGGGATCTCATGACATTAACCATGTGATTGAAGTTTTAGTAATGGCCACCATGGTGTCCGTGATGAACTGAACCGTGCGAGAAATCTGGACCGTGATGACTGCCATGTTCTTCGTGTCCTTTGTGTCCACCATGATGCTCATGTTCTTTATGTCCACAGTGTTCTTTGTGTTCACCAAAGTCATGTTCACCATATTTATGTCCTTCATGTTCTTCTTTGTGTMCATMATGATCTTCTTTGTATTTATCGTGTTCTTCTTTGTGTCCACCAAACTCATGTCCACCATATTTATKTCCTTCGTGTTCTTCTTTGTGTCCATMATGAYCTTCTTTGTATTTATCGTGTTCTTCYTTGTGTCCACCAAAGTCATGTCCACYATATTTATGTCCTTCGTGTTCTTCTTTRTKTCCATCATGATCTTCTTTGTATTTATCRTGTTCTTCYTTGTGTCCACCAAAGTCATGTCCRCCATATTTATGTCCTTCGTGTTCTTCTTTGTGYCCATCATGATCTTCTTTGTATTTATCRYGTTCTTCCTTGTGTCCACCAAASTCATGTCCACCATATTTATGTCCTTCRTGTTCTTCTTTGTGTCCATCATGRTCTTCTTTGYATTTATCGTGTTCTTYCTTGTGTCCACCAAAGTCATGTCCACCATATTTATGTCCTTCGTGTTCTTCTTTGTGWCCATCATGATCTTCTTTGTATTTATCATGTTCTTCTTTGTGTCCTTCATATTTTTGTACATCATGATTTTCTTTGTGTCCATTATATTCTTCTTTGTGCCCGCCATATTCTTCTTTATGTCCACCATGTTCTTCATGTGCTTGATGTTCACCATGTTCTTGATGTCCACCATGTTCATGGTATTCACCACCGTATCCCGGTGCACCCAATGAATACGCAACCAATGCCATTACCAATATGATTGACTGTAAAAGACAAACATTTATTTAAACAACAATTTAAATAATCTATCAATTAGAGTCATAACGTTTAACGACCAAGAACGTACAGAAAGAAAACTAATTCAAGAAATATTAACAAAAATGGTACAGCTCTACTAAAAACATTAGTTGTTTTGTAATGTGTCACCATAATGGATTTGTTAAATTTGAATTCAACGATAAAAAATCATTGTATACAAAAAAAGATTCTGAGCAAAGACGGTCTGTCACTTTATATTACAGTGAGCATATTTTACTTTAAGATATATTTTATTTTAATATTAGTGAAACAGCAAGTTGAATTAATTTTTGCCGAAAATATCTCATTTTATATTGGTACTTTTAAAGTTTCAAGTATCTACGAATAATATTTTTAAATTATACAAAAAAAATAAAAATATTTTTCCTATTTAAATACCTTTCTAATGTTATCTAAATTTYAAMATTTAATATTGATCTWAAGTCATTGGGAGCATACTACTTACGTCCGAAATTATTATCAGTAGGTGAGTTGCGTCGCACAAAAAAAAATTCGAAAAGGGTCATTTGCGTCCCCGTATACATTTTTTTATAACWTAATTGCGTCCCAAAATGTAAATGAAAAAAAATACATTGATGCTTATTTTAATTTATAATATAGAAGTATAAGTAATAAGTAAGTTAGGCATACAATTGAAAATAATATAAAATGTCATATGTTTTACATTTTGTCGTGATAATAGTAATTATAGTTCAAATCAAATATAATTCAATATAATAATTAATATAATAATAATATAAAAAWTCATGTTCTGTTATGTTTAGTTTACGAAGTATCGATTTTAGTATATTGTATCGATAATAATTATATATCCGTCCCCAAAACGGGACGCAAGTTATTGACTAAATTTACTACTTGAAAAATATACCTTTTTTGGGACGCAAGTAGCATGCAGGAAAATCATTTACGGGTATGCTATACTCGTATTATCACGATAATTCTCTCATGTTATCTACAACGATATCAAAATAGATACTATAAAACATAATTACCAGTCGATTCATGTTGGCAAGTRAATATGAAGTGTGTTTTTGCAAGACGAGTTCAGTGGACGCTGAAAAATAAGACTATATTAAAGTAATCTTCTGGTTGCGACTGCGGTCATTGTCAGACGTGCACCATCTTATAAGCTATCAGGCCTGYGGACAAGCTTTTCGCACGCGCAAATACACTAAACTTGTACGTCATCATAATAAACGCATTTTAAAATTTGTTTGGTATAATGATTTAATGACTGGTAGTGATTATTTAAGTTCAGCATTCGCAGAGGAGTGCCCAGGAATTTTAATTGGTGGAGAGGGAGCGTTGAAGTTAAAATATAATATTTGTATGAATTGAGTTGGTAATACCTACCAAAGATACAAATAAAGGGCTTTATGGGACAATTGGGGGGAGGTATAACACTTAATCTACCACCAGTTTAGTGCATACATCTACAGTGTATCACAACTACTGATAAATACGATAAATGTACTTATATTTTTATAATTTTAATCGTGGCAGTGGTGGTTATGTTAGTGAAGTGGTGGTGGTTATGGTGATTTTACTCCCGTCTAACASCATACACTAGAAACAAATAATATATAAAATCATAAGAATCTTACCTCTACTTTTAARGGTTTTCAACGAGATTCAAAGACAGACTTTTGCATGTTCAAGTATATGCACCATAAATAAATTATGTAATAATATGTATTATTGAAAATTGTATTGTGTATCGAGTTTCAACGACCAACTGAGATAAATCTAGTTCCGTATACGCCTACAATGTATTAAAACATTTTTTGCGATAAATGTTCATGTATTTTTATAAATTGAATCGTAGCAGTGGTGGTAGTGGTTGTTATTGCGGTGTTCATTGCCTAAACTGGTCAGCGGTTGTTATGTTGTGCAAAGCCCGAAAACAGTGTTTTTCCATCTGATCCATAGCGAGTGCTTTCTCCCTCCTTCTCGGTCATTCTCTCACTGTTTCATGAACACACACTCGCACGCTATACAAAAGTTAAAGGTAATTGATTCTGTTTGAGGTGCAAAATATATTATAAATAATAATATATAATAATATACAAGTTATGTATATAGGTAGTAGGTGGTAGGTACAGATTTTACGAGTATGAACGGTGGTAACTTTACGATTATACACCGCTGTGCTGTACAGCAATAATTTTTGAACATCTCAACGTAATGGTGTATTATTTTTTAATTCAATGTTAAATTATTGCATACGAAAAACGATTCATAGCGAACATTTCATGTCACGCTTGTAGATATAAATAACCAATTTTAATAATTATAGATAAAATTCAAAAATATCTAATTGCTATAAATAGTGTAATTTACTGGTGAAATTGTTTTTCGATAAAGTCGAAAAACTTGTTGGGAATCTTCTATTAAAGTTTCTAATGTTAGCTACCAAAAAAAATTGTGCACTTGTAACTGAAATATAATTTATAAAATTAGAACAATTTTTTATCAAAATTCGAACGAGTACTTTCCATAATTATTAAAATGTTTGTTCTAAGGATAAAAGATCCATGGTTAAGGTTTATAAGATATGTGATCTATGGTGAATTTGAAAATATTAGTAATTAATATTAATATATCAACATAAATAATTCGTAAAAACGACCTAAGTATCATATTATATACTAATTCCAATCGTACGTGTATTTTATACTTTTGTAAGACAATTTTTAATTACTATTAAACTTAGAAGGAACATTTCATTAACTAGGAAACTTCTTGTTYGAATTTTTATTTCGATACATCAAAATCCTCAAAACAATTATCCACTAAATAATTTAAAGTAAAAATGGAGATTCTCATTTGAAAAACAAAAGTTTGTATCGTCACAGGACACTCCTTAAGTGGTACAACAAATTTCAAGAATTTGAAAATGTGGACTTTAAGTATATTTAAAGATTACAAAAATCAGATTTTAAACAACTTCATTATTAAAGAAAATAGAAGATTAGCGTGCATATTGAATCATCCTGTAGATATWAATTATTTTTAAAATATTTTCACGATATATATTTACAGCGCCGTTATAATATCAAGACCATTAAATATACCATTCCRGTCTAACAAAGCAAGATTAGATCTAATATTATTATAATTACAGTTAATAAAATCATAAATTTGTTCTATATAATCTAAGTATTTAAAATAGGTAAGTTCGTTATCAGCGCTAGGTAGTACGTAAAATATAATAGTAATTAAGGGTGATTTACTTTAATTACATTAATATTAAACATGTTAGAAAAAACAAGATTAAGAAGCGGCCTAGGGCGATTATAGATTAAATTAAATTATATTAAATTTAGGTAAGACAAAAACTATGACTAAAACATTTGGTTCAAGAGAACCAACACATGCCACAACAGAAACAATAGAGCCATTAACAGCAAGGCCGGCGCTAAGGATTTTGCCGCCTTGTGCAGTTAAAAAAATGCCACTACCCCTTTCAATAACTTTTGCCATATAATTAGAACATAGTGTTATTTATACAAAATTAATTATAAACTGGGCTATATTACATTTTAAATTGTTACAATTGATAATATTTTTTTCACAAAAGTTTGTTATGTACATTTATAAAAATAAATGGTAGTTCTTATTTATAATTAATATATAATTCATACAACAATAAATCATAACTCATAAATGTTTTCTTGCTTTTAACTTTGAAAAATCGTCGWCTAAATCTTTCTCTGTTAATTCTTGTCCAACTTCATGTTCAATTGAGATCATGGCTAGACTACAAAGTCGTTTGTTTTTCATTGTTGAGCGTAAGTATGTTTTGATAAGTTTCAATTTCAAAAAATTCTTTCACCAGTTGCCACTGATACTGGAAATGTTAGCAAAATTCGTAAGGCAATGGATAGGTTTGGTGCAAAATCACCAGCATTTATTACAAATGTTAAGAGTTCATAAGGCGATAAGTTATCATCAACCATATAATATAATACCATAAACTGACTTTAATTCATGGGCCATTTCAATTCCATTGATATCTGTTGAATCACCATCAGTACCATCAGTAAGAAGAATTTTTAAGTCTTTTAAGTGTTTTAATAGTTCTATATGTGTAARATTTTTCAGTTTTTTCAAATTATAAAGAAACCTAACCACAAAGATAATCGTGAAACACGCCGAGCAACAATTATTATTTTAGATTTACAGCGAGTAATAGTGAAAAATACATATTTTTATTTATAAACAATGCCGCCACTAAAATTCCAAAAAAATTGCCACCCTGTAAGTTCGCACAGGTCGCACGTGCCTTCTGCTGGCCCTGATTAACAGATACCCCTATCTCCTTATACCTCATCCGTAAAAAATAATAGATATATGCTACTGATCTATAGTATATGATTTAAATAATATTTTATTAGTATCAAAAAATATTAATAATATATTGTATATTAATCATATTTTAACTTCTCATTTCATTGTTTGTCCATACAGCGATCTTCGCGATATTTTCAGTGGAAAAAACTAAGAATTTACTAATTTATATGTTTATGTTATACGTGCATACATATTACATAATCATAACGATTCAACAACAAGATTCTCGTAATTATACTGGTACTATATAGACATATATTATAGTATGCTAATAAAATATAGGTACACAGAAAGATATATGGCTATTCGAATTTGTCTTGTTCTATACCTATAATAATTTAGATTATTAATTACTTCATCGTGGGCGCATAACACTTCCTTTATTCGGTAGTGCAACCACCTATGGAAGAGAATGTGATGTAGGTATTCTTTCCAGTCCATTTTTCGTAGTTATAACTATTATTAGTACAAAACATTCTATAAAATAGATTAATAACCTTCATGATTAGTAATTAGTTATCGTATTTTTACCTAATGCTCATTAGTGGTTGACTGTAATATATGATGGGGTCAACAGAGTTGAAAATGTAGAAAAATATTTTAAAACAGGAATGATGGATGCCTTTTAATAACAATGAGGGTTTATATCCGATCATAAAATGTCTTTTAAAAATATTGTGAATCCAACTTCTTAAAATCAAAATCTTATATCTCAAAATCTTATATGCGACAAATGTAATAATTGGTACCCTGCAATTGTATTTCATAGACTGCAAGTCTGCAAAATTATTATTGCTGCCATGCAGATGAATTTTGTTAAGAAATGTAGAATTTCTGCAGACTAAAAGCTTCATACACTTAATATAATATTGTTTACCTGTGTAACCTACTTTGCTTAATACATGAAGTGCGTTGCAAACTTCATCAAATCGGCATTCGGGTGTGAAAGTTCCAACATAAACACTCTTATTGAACTTATTTATCTATATTTTCGTTTTTTTTCAGATTGTAAAAATTTTTTTTTTTTGAAAACATTAGACGACGACGTACTGTATGCATAATTTTCACAATGATTATATTTTATACCCAAGAAAACATAAAATACTAACTAATAGCCGATAGGATCGATCATGAATTATATTTATGGTCAACAATTGTAATAGTAATATTAATATATTAAATTCTAATACTTTTAGCATGATTTGTACTAATAATATACCTATTAGTGATGTAATATAGTATATATTACATTTTAGCATGATTTGTACTAATAATATACCTATTAGTGATGTAATATAGTATATATGTATAATGTTCAATTATAATACTCCGATTGTTTGAAAAACAACAAAAAATACAATATTAAAATGAATATTATTTGTTAATCTGTTTATTTCATTACTACCCTACTACTAATAGGATCTTGTATGGTTATAGTTTCCTTCATTTTCAACTAAAGTGTTGGTATTCGTACCAATTTATTCGAGTATTGATTTAATTAGAAAATATTGTATAACAGTTCGTCGAATTACTAATTATTTAAAGTTTAATCCTTCAAAAAAAAACCCCTACATGCTTGACTCGTTCGGAAATTAATTATTTAGAGTGAAATAGATACAAAATGATCAATGGTTTGTGACTTTTAATTCAGCCACGATAAGAACTAAAATTTGCAAGAAGATGCAATAAAGGCTTTTGCTGGCAAACATTACCTATTATTCAGGAAATATTATGTTTGGAACCATATTTTATAGGTACGTATGTAACAATATACCGATTAAAAAAGGTATTTTTAAAAGTGCTGCTTACAGATTTAATATTTGAAATATTTGGTTGATAAAACAGTTGCTATTGAATTAATAGTGTAAATTTCATAGCCTATTGCAGACGTACTAAATTTCTAAATATATATGTATAAATATATAAACACTTATAAACTTATTATGACTATGACATTGTAAACGTCCACCGTTCAATGAATAATATTTGTACCAAACTATTAATTATTTAAACACAAAAATATTTTTTTAGAAAAATGTTTAATTGGTTGAGTATATTTTTTATATATTTTATATGTTTATTATTATAAACAAATTTACAATTTAGGTATAAATAAAAATGAAATAAATAATATAACGAGTTGAGAACTCTATTATTATACGACTTTTAAGTCATATGTACGAGATAGTGGAATTCGGACGGAATTTGCGATGTGATTGTAGTTTTAGTAGTGACCACTACCGTGTCCACTATGCCCACCATGTCCGTGAGATTGTGAACCATGTCCACCGTGTCCTTGATTACTGCCATATTGTTGTCCATGTCCATGATGCCCACCATGCTCCTGTTGTTGGTATTGACCATTTCCGTGGTTGCTACCAGATCCTTGGAAGCCACCGTGTCCTGGGTTGCTACCGTGTCCTTGGTTGTTACCGTATCCTTGGTTGCTACCGTATCCTTGGTTGCTACCGTATCCTTGGTTGCCACCGTATCCTTGGCTGCTACCGAATCCCTGGTTGCTACTACTACCATGGCTACTGTGTTGGTATTCACTTTGACTTCCATGACTTTGTGATCCACTACCGTATCCCGGCATAGCCAGTGAGTAACCGACCAATGCGATAACCAAAACGATTGACTAGAAAAAACAACGAGTGCGTTTAAATAACAAATTTAAGAGTCAATCAATAGTTAATGTTAATACGTCTTGTATAATGCACATATAAGTTATGAAATGTATAGTAAATTATTTACGTCACCGTAGAATAGATATATGTACTAGTAATTATTTACGGTAGGTATATTATTCAGCGATGTCGGATTATAAATTGTTTTCTCAAATATAAGTAGGTATTAGGTACAAACAAGATAAATCATCGTGTAACAATAACGAGTTGATAATATTTTTTTAATAGTTAGAATGAAAAAAACATATCCGCGACACTGATGAAAATCAATAACGATTGTGATGATTAAATAGAAACGATAATATTATATTTTGAGCCTTAATGGTTAAAATAATTATCATAGTATAGGCATTATAATATGATACCTCGAAAATGAAAGAAAAATACTTTAAGTTATTAGGTGAATACATTGATAAGTAATTGAATGCATCGTGATATTTTATTTTTATTTCATTCCATTTCAAATCATAATAATAATAGTATTCGAAGTAGCTTGAAACCAAAAAAAATTGTTCAGATAATTTATTTATTTTATTGTAAAAAAAAAGATTATTTATGTTTCAGAATGAATTTGCTAGAAAACAATTTTATAAAAAAATCTAGAAAATGTATAAGACTTTAATTTTTATAAAATGAGTCAATTATTTTTATATTCAACGTATATAATATCATACATAATAATATACTTAAAAAATAAATTTTTAKGTAACATACTGAACTCTAAATACTATTTAATTTTGAAACATTATAAATTATTATTATTATAGTATATTATAATCATTTAATTATAATTAGCATTACAAAGTAAATGTTTCACAATATAATGAAATAACTGCAATAAAACGAAAAATGTACAAGATGGAGAATAATTTATTTTAAATAATTTAATTTAGCAATCACAATTAAAATCTGTGTTTCAAAAAAATATCAAAACGTTATATAGGTAGGTGAACAAAATGGTTGAGGTAATATTTTTTTATTTGTGGTTTGCATTATTGTTCGAGACCTAAGTGGGTTATAGGTGATTTAAATTTAAATAACGAGGTATACTTAACGATCGAGGACGAAGATCGTACAAAATAATTCAAAATATATAAATAAAAAAATGTTAAAAACCTATTCATTAAGTAACCGACAATGGAACAATATGAATTGACTACAGAGAAATATTGAAAACTATGGTAAATTCATTAGATATCCAAAATATTTTATGCTGCACAATACCAAAAAAAATAAAAAAATATTGATCTAATAAACTAGGTATATATTATGAGGTATGTATCATTAGAATGGATGATTCTCGTGGTATTAATTACTATATAAAAAGGAGCTTAAGAGAGAATAATGTCATAACAATAATATTTTGAATATGCTCTGATATTTACACCTAAAATCGTACTCGGACTTAGTACTAACATGATACACGTCGTCTAAAACGATATTATTAATAGGTAGGTAGGTATTATAATAATTACCAGACGATTCATGTTGATGAGTGAGCGTGTAGTGTTTTTTCGCAAGATAAATTCAGCRGACGTTGGAAGACTGTTCGTGATCTTTGGGTTGCGACTGCGATCATTCGTTGGACGTGCACTGTCTTATAAACGATGTCTGCAGACAGGCTTTTCGCACGCACGAGTATAATATGCATATACATATTATTATAAAATATATTTATATCATGTTTTAATGACCAGYCGAGGTTAACCTAGTACGGTATACGCCTACAATGCATCCGAACCTTTTTCGCGATAAATTTACACAATAATAATAATAATTTTATTATTATTATTATATAAGACGTGGCCGTGTTTGTAATGATGATTAGGTGGTGGTGGCGGTAGTGGTGGTGGTTGTAGCAGTATCACCAAAACTGGTCAGCAGAGTTGTTTTGTTGTGCAAAGACGACGATGATAATATTACTACTTTTGTTATTTCCATGTTATTTTGTTATTAATGGTTTTAATCATTATAAATATTAATATTGCATTATATTGATTTATCGACTGACTCGTGTGCGTGTGGAGGCACACTCCTAATTTTCGGTTTTTCCGTCAGACCGATAGTAAGTGCCCATTCCTTCACAATCGTTCTATCTCTCTCTCTCTCTTGGTTGAGAGATCGAAGGTCAAAGATTCGCAGAGATAATTGATTTAGGTCGAGGCGGAAAAGCATATCATACAAGTAATATATATGTATATAATATAATACATATTGTGTATACGGTGGTGGACTTTACGACTGAGAACAAACACAGAAATAAAAATTAATTTTTTATCGCAATCATTATAATAATAGGTACCAGTTAATATAAATTTATACACTATCGGAAAATATTAATAATATTTTGTATTAATCATAAATTAACCTCTCACTTCATATTCTGTCCATTCAACAACCTTCGTGATATTTTTCGGTGAAAAAAAACTGAAAATTTACCTATAATATTATATAACATATTACGTGCATCATATATTACCATAATACTTACATCCGTGTATGAACAACAACAGTCGTAATCGTTATATCGTATTTGTTGTGCTGGTGCCTGGTATTATAGTACGCTAATAAAAAATCAAGACACAGTGACGTACCAGTTGTATGGTTTTGGGGTTTTAGTGCTCCTGGATTAAATAATAAACTAGTTGTATAATATAATGATAAAATATTCCTAGTATAGAATAAATAAAAAATTGTTTATTTTATTAGTTTAATGGACTAAATGTATTGGTTATAATAAAATGTTAACGAGTTTCTTAACTTCTGAAAGAGATTAAATTTTACCTAAATTTAAAAAAAAAATTGGTAAATAGAGGGTATCGTGAGGTAGTGTATGTGTAATGGATTTGTCAAATTTGAATTCAATAATAAATTGTTGCAAACAAAAAGCGATCCAGAGCATACACGGTATATTCTTGCTTATATTTCCAAGGATGTGTTTTATTCAAATCACAAATTTATTTTAATTACTTTTTTTTCTATTTRTATTATGGAGTACAGAATATTGAACAAATTTTTGCTGAAAAAATAGCATATTATAATACCTATTAGATAATACCTAATAATTATTAATATATTAAACGATAATATAATATTTTTTACTATTAACTTATCGTCAATGCCACCTATCTCTAAACAACTTCATACTCGGCTCAGTATACCTATATTATATTCTAAAACACAATAATTGGTTTTTGTGAATCTTTATAAAATATTGAAATACGTATTATACGTAATATACACGAAAAGATTTATGTCTTCAAGAGGACGCTACACCCGCATATGTTGTCTTCGTCTTACAAGTGCGTAACATCGCAAATTTTATGCTCAGCAGATCACGTTTAGCTTCGTTTAAAATTTAGAGTAAAATGACCTCTTACAAAAATTAAAGGTAACATTATTATCGAGGGCACCTCGTAGGCTTTTTATTATATTTTTATTTTAAAGTGAGTTATGAGTATTTTAAGATATACAAACAATTTACAATTTTAAAATACACATAACTCACTTTAAAATTAAAATATAATAAAAAACCTACGAGGTGCCCTCGATAATAATGTTATCTTTAATTTTTGTGAGAGGTCATTTTACTCTAAATTTTAAACTAACGGAGCTAAACGTAATCTGCTGAGCATAACATTTGCTATGTTACGCACTTGTAAGACGGAGACAACATATGCGGGTGTAGCGTCCTCTTAAGATTAATTTATAAAGAAAATGATTATGCTCAACTATACTATTTCGTCAAAATATAAACTACTTAACTTTAATTAAAGTGATGTTCATTGTTCATACTTACATGATATGGATTTACGATAGTTTTAGAAAGCTGTAACCCAATGTATTCAACTTACCTCTCAGAATTTATTATAAATATATCACTTACTATTTAGTATTTGTTAATATTAATTAATTTGTTTTTTTTTCATTATCATTTGTCTCAATAAATCAATAAATTAACTCTGAACAGGGCATCATAATTATTGATATATATATTTTTTTATTATTATTGATAAATAACTGCCTCGTCAATTGGAGCTATTGGTTACATTAAATAGTTACATGTGATTATCTATACCAAAAAATACGAAATTAATATTATATACATTCTAAATTTATAATAAACTATATATTTTCAAATTATATCATAGAGTACTGTTTCCTTGAGGAATTTGAGCACTTGAGTATGTTCGATTTTTTGATAGATGGTGGGTTAAACTGAATTTCTGATGTTGAGTTTCATACTTCCTACATTCTGTTACCTAATATATGTTTAAGGAAAGTTGCAGGTTGGGCATATATGGGTGGGTCTTCTTTTTTCATCAAAAACATTATTATTGTTATTATTATTTCTTTTATTCAGGTGGCTGGTTTTATTATATAATTATTTTTGTTTATATACTTTAATTTTATATTTTTAGTTATACATAGACTACTTAATATTATTTATTATTCTGTTTGTTTTTGATATTAGTTTTTAAATATTTTAATGAATTGATATTATTGAGGTAAATTTATGAATAAAAGCTAAATAAATTTAAATATCAACAAATTATTCTTATCAATTTCATATTTTTCTTACCTACAAAACTACTTTAAAGWCATATAATGCTGTCTTAAAATAATAAGCTATATAATATATATTCTTGTGTAACTATTAACATTAACTTTTTATATTTAAATATTCACACTATCATTTTAGTTTTTAATTAATTTTAACACTAAAAAATTTAAATTTGTGTCTAAAATGTAGAACATTGGCAGAATAGAAATTAGGTTATTTTTTTTTTAAAGTCATTTACAACTAGAAAAGTTAGGTTTTAGTACGAAGGAGGGGTTTTCTTGTCAACAKCGTTATATTAATAATAATAGTAATGATAATAATAATAATAAAAAATGTTCAGTTTGTAATTGTGTACACAAATACACAACACTTATAAATACCACCTGTGCATATGTCGATGTACTTCAAATAAAACAAATAAATTCATACTGACATGCGCAATTTAAAGAAAATAGTGTTATATATTTCCATTTTATAATTTTAATTTTTCATAATTTTTTTAATAGGTATAGCAACAAGTTTATGAAACAATTTAAATGTATAATCTTATAATAATATATTAAACGACTTATCAACTTTGTCGTCCGTGCATCCGTGCGTCATTTGGTTGTTTTACTCATTTAGGTAATGTGTTTTTTATGTACTAACCTAAAACATATCATCCATTAAAATTCTTACTGACAAATAAATTATTGTATTGAAGAATAATTAATGTTGTACAATGCTAATATATATATTAATATATTAATATATTATAGATGCAGATATTCACGTTTATACGCTACACGGTAGTTTTTTAATCAGTGAACAAAGATACATGATATTTTTACCTGTGTTATTACTTATTTCCTCCATTTAATTTTATTCTAAAGGTGCCTTTACACTCTATTGTGTCATTTATAATTTATTGTGTTGTTTATTTGACCAAATTGCCTTGGTAGACATAATTAGAACTTGATTAGAGGTTAGCTAGTGTAATCATTTATATTTAAAAAAATTTAATTATTGAAATAACTGATAATCATTTGACCATTGTAACCAGATGCTGATAATAAACCACTGTAATTTTAATACGAAGTTTTAAATAATGGAAGACATGATACAATTCTTAGCCAGTTTAAAAACAGTACCTCTATAAATATGAAATTACCATCAACTTTTAAATTTATTAATGGAATCTAGAGTATTAAACTCATGATTGGATGTCGAATGCGCTTCTAAATATTTAAATTAAAAATATTGGATATAAAAAATACATACCTATACTGCCTTATAATGCAAACCTTATTTGCCTAGAGGGTACTTAAATTTTCATCATTTAAGTAGTGTAGTCGTTTACAACTTATTTTTTCAAAAATTTAGTTTCTAATTAGTTTAACTTTAAGTATCTACCTACGACCCACATAATATTAATATAGGTATATCCCTAAATAATGATTTTACACAAAATATCAAATAGATTTATAGTAATATTTTCATAGTAACTTGTCTAAAACTTATTATACTCAGACAATTTTTGAAATATTATAAATTTTTATGAATAATTATTAATTAGACATTTTTTTTATCATAATCATTGATATTTTTTCAAACAATATTATTCTTAGTAGGTATTTAAACATAAATAATTCAAAAACTACTCGTTTGAATGAATTTTTACTTAAATATGTCACCTACGGTAAATTATGTTAAACGGAAAATAATGTTATCTACCGGTCGTTAACCTTAGTAACCATCAGTATTATGTTAAATCGGAAAGTGTCGTACATTTTATTTATTTTACTCAAAAAATGCAAAAAATAAGAAAATAAATGTTGCAAATAAAAACTTGTTATTACATTGTTATAATATAATTAATAAATGTATATGTATAAAATAAAACGCACTATATTTATTTTGACATGATTTAGTAGTTCCAAGGCATTTACTATTACAAATTATAAAAGCCCTCCGGCTATAGTATAAMTACATCTGTTGTTACAACCTGTCTTGCAATCACGACGTTGATATTTCTGGGAATCCTTAACACAACAGTTATGCTAATAATTA